ATAATGCAAAAGGACAACAGTAAACACTCAATTTTCAGTTAAAGTCCGTTCATCATTGATTCAGTGATGTTTCAGTGAGCTCATATACATATTGACCAAAGCAATCTACCAAGAACATTGCAAATTAGTGTAGGGTCGCAAACAAGCAGAGACAATGATAATCGGGTGCTTGCAATGAAGATAAAAGACATTAAATCTCTCAAGATCTCAGCAGAGGAGGATTAAACAACTCCACAAACAGCACTACCATCTTCACTTATTACTAACCAGATTGACTTTCTGTCAGGCATCTACAGAAGTTTTTTATTGAGAATTAACAGGGGTTTAAATCCAACGTTTGTTTCATTTGAGTCACCACAATGGTGATTAGTGTTTCCATTTATTGGGCTTTGCTGGCTGCTATTGATGGTGTGTTTATATATTATGTTGCTCTATGGGTATTCTATAAGGTCAGCCGCAAAAGTAACTGTGCCCATGCCTTTCCATCGCTAATGTTTCACTGCATGTCTTTAGTAAATCCAGACAGTAGACTTTTAATTATAAAGAGGGTTTGCTTTGGTACAGGTTGTTAGTAAATCTGGTCCTTAGAGTGTTATTTACTGTAGGTATGTGGGGGGAAACCTGGCTTCTGTCATGTTGTTTAATGCCATATTGTAGGCCCACCTGGAGAAAAAGGAGCACCTGGACCCAAAGGTATGCCGGGCCCAATAGGGCCAAAGGGCTTTTCAGGATCTAAAGGGGATAAAGGTACATACTTGAGCAGGAGATTATATATGGACATTATCCTGGTTATTTTTAAATGTGACCTTTCTGATAACATGCATGTTTGAGATTTCCTATTGTTTTCAACAGGAGAGAAAGGTGATCAAGGAAACATAGGACTGACTGGGTCTCCAGGCATCCAGGGAAAGGCTGGAATGAAAGGTGAACACAGTTAACCATTAGGTCCCTGCAAATTTGTATACCCAATAAGGACGAATAAATGCAATATATTTGTACTAAACAGGTGAGATGGGTATTAAAGGTGAGAAGGGTGCAGCTGGACTGCCAGGATTCAAAGGTTCGAAAGGAGAAAAAGGAGATCCAAATTTGAATGTGTCAAAAGGTGATCAGGGAGAGCCAGGCAAAGATGGACCACCGGGACCCCAAGGCATGACTGGTGAAAAGGGTGAAAAGGGTGATAGAGGAGAGTGCGGTTTACTTGGTGACAGTGGCCAGAAAGGTGAGCCAGGTGATCCTGGACCACCAGGTGTGCATGGAGACCCTGGTCCATCTGGGCAACACGGCATGCACGGGACTCCAGGAATCGCCGGAGAACGCGGGGAACCAGGAGTTCCTGGAGCAAAGGGCGAGCCAGGAGCACGGGGACCACCAGGAGTCAAAAGTATGAGAGGTCTGAGGGGAATGAAGGGTGACCGTGGCCCCCAAGGGAAACGTGGAGACCGAGGCCTACGGGGACTGAAGGGCTCAATGGGTCAAAGTGGATCGAGAGTACGGTCTGCTTTCAGCGTCGGCTTATATCCAAGCAAGTCTTTTCCCCCATCTGGATTTCCAGTTCGCTTCGACAAGGTCTTCTACAATGGAGAAAACCATTACGACGTAGTCACGAGCAAATTCAACTGCACCTACTCAGGAGTTTATGTGTTCTCCTACCAGATCACGGTGAGAAACAAGCCCCTGCGTGCTTCTCTGGTGGTGAATGGGGTGCGTAAGGTACGTTCGAGAGACACCCTACAGGGTCAAGACATTGACCAGGCATCCAATCTAGTGATCCTGAAGCTGGATGTGGGAGACGAGGTGTGGGTAGAGACGCTGAGAGACTGGAACGGTGTCTACTCCAGCAGCGAGGATGACAGCACCTTCTCTGGGTTCTTGCTCTATCCTGACTAACACCTTCTTCATGGCTAGATCTTGAACTGAACTTTACATGACATGGACATGGGAGAAATTTATGACCAATTACAGTAGATGTAGTGTTTTCATCATAGAGAGACAGAAGTGTACCGCTTAAACGAGTATTAAAATGAGTATCCCATTTCGTTAACCACATCAGATAGGCTAATTTGATTTCAAAGTTAAATCTGGACAGGAAAAAAACAAACATCGAAACTACATATTCACAAAATTGTCATACAGTGCACGGTATGTGTTGTGAGAGCACTGTGCATCTCTTTTTATCGACTGTTTTGAACATTCAGTACATGTTAAAACTTTCTGATGAGGAAATAATTGTTTTAATTAGACGACAAGTCTTTTTAAAATTATTTTGCTTTTTGGTATGGTCTTTATTTAACACTCAAATATCAAACAGTTTGACAAAAAAAGTGTGATTTTAATCATTCTGACAATGTTTTCGTCATGTGCCATTTAAGCTTCTTGCTGATTGGTTACATATCAATGAGCCTCTACGACATATAGACAGGTATATTGAATTTTCCACTCAACACATTATTTTTCAAAGAGGCATCATTCCATAAACAGTTCATTACTCATAAGGTCAACAGAATAAACATAAATCATCAGATCATATGTTATGTATTGTATGAAATACAAATCACAATGTAGGCTTTGGGTTGATGGGTTTCTGAGCACTAAAGTAATAAAATCAAGCAAAAAATATCACTTTGATTAATGCTCCACTTTCCTCACAACAAAGTGAAAATGTACAATGTCGGCAAACAAAATTATGGTAGCGCTTTAAGGACCAATTCTCACTATTAACAAGAATACTAGCATTTTGGCTGTTTATTAGTACTTTTCACAAGTTCGCCTGCCCATCCAGTCCTGATGGTTAATGGTAAACGATCTTGGCTTGCTGGCCTTAATGGAGGCTCGAACACTATTAGTTAATAGTGAGAACTGGACCTTAAAATAAAGTGTGACCAAAACCACATTTAAATCTGAATCTTGCTTTAATGCAGCATCATCAGGAACCTGGCTGATGGATTTATAAGACTCAAAAATGACCAAAAAACGAAGCTTTTTGGAACACAAAGACAAAAATGAAGTTTGATATGTCCCAATTTTAAGTCCTGTTCCAAAGGCTAATGGGCTATTTAAGGCAAAACGAGGAAGCTCGTTTGATTTTTGAAACAGAGGGATAAAAATTAAATATCGTAGCCACTTACATTATGAGGCCTCAGGTCCAGATCCAGAATTCTCACTTTGCCTTTTGCAGGTACAGTATAGTATATGTCCCAGCATCTTGTTTTCCAACCTGATGTTATGTGTGTGTTGGAGGACGAGGCAGGTGCCAGCCAAGTGGTGTTTTCATGATGTAGTATCCTATGATAAGGCCTTTCCCATTTACATGCAGCTGGGTGTTACACCCTACAAAACAATGTACTGTGTCCAGGCACAGTCACCAACTGGGGAGTGTTCAGTTCGCCTGATATAAAACATTTAATTGTTGCACTCAGTGTAAATCGAGATCGTTTGTGTCGCCAATTTACAATTTACTACTACGACACTGAAAGCTAACCTCTATTGCTCCAGGACTGTTTTGAAAGTGACAGGTCAGTATGATTGTATGTTCTGTTACTGAAGGTGTAGCTGGTGTCTACAAGAGCACCCATCATCCTGGCAGAAAAACCAGTACAACAAAGAAATTCAGCTTTTAGCGCATATGTGACCCTGGAGCACAAAAGCAGTCTTAAGTCGCTGGGGTATATTTGTAGCAATAGCAAACAATACATTGTATGGGTCAAAATTATCCATTTTTCTTTTATGCTAAAAATCATTAGGATATTAAGTAAAGATCATGTTCCATGAAGATAGTTGTAAATTTCCTACTGTAAATATATCAAAACTTAATTTTTGATTAGTAATATGCATTGCTAAGAACTTAATTTGGACAACTTTAAAGATGATTTTCTCAATTTTTTTTTTTTTGCACCCTCAGATTCCAGATTTTCAAATAGTTGTATCTCAGCCAAATATTACATCAAACCATACATCAATGGAAAGCTTATTCATTCAGCTTTCAGATGATGTATACATCTCAATTTCAAAAAAATTGAACCTTATGGTTGGTTTTGTGGTCCAGGGTCACATATATTAAATAAAAGTAAGAATGACTCGCCCTCATGAACGCTGGGATAACTGTCCAAAGGTAAGACACTGTTAATCTCCTCACACTATTTCATTAGAAACCTGATTAAAGAAATAGTTCGCCTGAAACAGAAATGCTGCCTGTGAAATTCCAACATTTCAAAAGAGAAAGAATCAGATCGTTTATTTTATATGGTATGTCAAAAACGTTTCTTTTTTGACTACTTTTGAAGTAAAAAAAAAAATTAAAAAAAAAGTAAGTGTATTTTCAACTAATTGGACATCTGGAGTTGACGAGGAGGATTAGGTGTATGCATTAAAAAACAAGGCCAATTTAAATGGATAAAGTTTGATTTCACATCAACAGAAGCACAATTTAGGAAGGTTTTAATGTTAAAATGTTCTGCCTTCATGAAAACAGTTCTCATATGTCTATTAATTTGGGTTCTGGAAATAACAATCCTATTATTTGTCAAACAAAATATTGCACTCTGTTCTCAAGCTAATTGATCACACAGTCTTGATTTTTATAAATATCTTTTCAAAGCAAATAACTCCACAGTCTATACCTTACATTGTGTTTGTCTGTAAAGATGAAACAGAAAAAAACAAGGAAAGAAGTAGCTCAAAAAACATAATAAAAGGAACACCGTGTCCAAGTTACATGTTTTACAAATTGCATATGTGACCCTGGAGCACAAAAGCAGTCTTAAGTCGCTGGGGTATATTTGTAGCAATAGCCAACAATACATTGTATGGGTCAAAATTATACATTTTTCTTTTATGCCAAAAATCATTAGGATATTAAGTAAAGATCATGTTCCATGAAGATATTTTGTACATTTCCTACTGTAAATATATCAAAACTTAATTTTTGATTAGTAATATGCATTGCTAAGAACTTCATTTGGACAACTTTAAAGATGATTTTCTCAATATTTAGATTTTTTGCACCCTCAGATTCCAGATTTTCAAATAGTTGTATCTCAGCCAAATATTGTCCTATCCTAACAAAATTAACTAATTTTGACAAACTCAAAAAATTGACACTTATGACTGGTTTTGTGGTCCAGGGTCACATATAATCAACGTGCTATAATAGAAACTACAAATCACAATTTGCAGTAATAAACCTGTTCTGCAACACTTACTATGTGGTAATGCTGGGCTGTGGGACAAATTCATATCACCTGTTATTCAGATGAAAACCATCTTTTCTAAACTGCAAAATGAAAGAAAGCAAATAAAATTTCCACTTTACAGCGCGAGTTTACTGACAGTGAATCTCTGGTTTACATTGTGCTTGCACTGTATTATGATGAAAGCATTCGTGAGAGTGCAGAAGTTAAGATGCAATGACAAAATCATTGCTTTTACGTGCTCAAAAGACATGACTGTGATCGGCTACAATGCTCAGAGCTGCAAAGTTTTATGCAATGGGAGTAGATCTAAACGTACACCTGTTCATGGTTATTTAATCTTGGCAGCTGTAGTAGTAAAAAAAAAACTCCTACTTGTAACACTGATTTCGTACGCAAAAATGCTACCCAATCATAGGAGTGTCTGTTTACATTTAAGTCTTAAAGGAGACACATCTCTTTAAATCAGTAAAGAAAATTGACTTTTTTTTTAATATATTTTTGGTATTTTGGTGCTGATGTATTAATAGTATGTTAATAGTTTGACAGAGGACGGAAAGCTGCTGCTTGTGTGAACAGCAGATGCAGTACATTTACCAGAAAGAGTCCACACATTAAACTTACCAAGTTTTTACCAAGCCTTTTTTTTTTTTTTACCAAAACTCATTTTAATATTTGGTGGAAACAAATTAAACACCAGTGCTTTCAGTAGATCATTTTATTTATAACCATTTAAATAGCATACTTCTGGCTTCATACCCAGATCATTTAGATAACTAAATGAGGTTACAATATGTTCGTAATGGGATACCACATACCACAGCAAAACTGTAACTTTGCATGCATAAGCGATATTTTTTATAAGACAAAAGATCAAAAATGATGTTTAAAATAATTAACTCACTAAATCATAAAATCAGTTTTTCTTTCATACTGTAACATCATTTCTTCAAAGTTAAATATGAAGAAAATAAATATATGATTATACATTTTTAAATAGATTCATTTGTTACACTGAGTGAATTCTTGTTTACTAATGCACTGGTGTCCATTAAACCACAAGCTCATCTGTAGCATAACTACTGTTCATCACAGCATGCCTTAACAAATCCTAGCATAACAATAACCAGAGTAAAGATCACTTCACACCGGATTCTGAGTGACTCAACTATACTATTAATAGGGCAGCTATATAAATCTAACCCACACCGGTTCTGTCCTAATTTTTAATTCTCAATTCAAAAGACCACTAATGCCAATAATAATGGCCAGAAAACTTAAGGAAGCCGAGTTGAAACTCTTAAGTTGACTTAAGTTGAGGCAAAACTGAAATAAATTATGTGTACTAATAAGTTATGTATTCTCATATTTCAGTGAGTTGCATAAAGCAATAAAATCAGTGCAAGAAACAATAAATTTAAACAATTTATAATTAATACCCACCATCTGTCTAAATTCACACTCTTCTTGTCCAATTAAAAATGAACGGAAAGGAGGTCAAGAAGAGAATCTATATTATTATATCACAGCGAATCTCATGAAAACATTCCCAGGCCATATTTCACCCCAAAATCAATAGCTTATCAAATGCTTATTTTTTGATACTAATGATGACCGTTTTTTTTTTTGGCATTGTAACATTATTTTCAAAACAGCATAAAACATTTATCTTTTTCTTTGTAGTTCTCGTTCTCAGTAGTGATTCTCACTGGATTCTCAGTAATGCAATACAATTTTTAACATTTATATTTACACAAATGAAATGCAGTGCAGCCAATACCACCATGATGACATATAAATACATTATAATATCAAGTATTGTTTTTTTTGTTTTTTTGCCACGAAAAATCGTAATGGTCCTAAAACTAGAATTCAAATTCTCTTCTAATTATTTGTTTTCATTTTGGAGTAAAATCTAAACCTATGACCGCTGATCACCCTATAAAGAACCGAAGTGTGAATGTATTCAGAGACCATGACTGACCTGCAGACAGAAGAAATGTGGGGAGAATCGCCAGTTGTTGTCAGTCTGTGCCCAGTTAAGTTAGGAGCTATCCAGCGAACTTCTGCGGCTGTAATGGAGGAGGCAGGCTGTCGCCGCCTATGTTGTCTGAGTCAATAGTGAATGCTGTAGAGATGTGTGTCTGTACAGGAGTCCCTTCCAACATGCCCAGCACTGAGAGCTCCTGGCCTTCGCTCCATTCGATGAGGTCTGTTTCCAGAGGCCGCGTCTCCTCGGCTCTCCTCGGCTCCAGCTGTGGTTCTGCCATGCAGCGCTCCTCTCTAAAGCCGGATGAAGCGGCCTTGGGACCCGGCGGAGACGATGCACCGGACATGTAGAGCTCAAAGTCTTCATGACTCAGGTTCAGCGACTGCGCATCAAGCTTCTCGATGAAAGCCACGGCGCAGCACTGCAACAGGAACAAGTTCAGAGATGAGCGGCCTGATTAAAGAGCAGCCTTAGTGCTGCGTTCAACACCATAGATCATCACATACTCATAGATCGATTACAAAACTATACAGGTATTCAAGGGCAGGCTTTAAGATGGTTTAGATCCTACCTGTCCGATCGCTACCACTTTGTTTTTTTAAAAGGGGAATCATCTCCATTATCACCAGTAAAATATGGAGTGCCACAAGGATCTGTCCTAGGTCCTCTGCTATTTTCAATATACATGTTGCCCCTTGGTAATATTATTAGAAATATATAATAGAATCATGTAATAATTGCTGTTAATAGTGTTCTTCGTCTGTTTGATTACATCTTTAATTGATTTTTCCGTACATTTCTGCCATATGTACAGTAACTGACAGTAACAACTAATAAGCTACTACTAAATATTGTAGAAACGTAATTTTCTGTAAAGTTGCTTTGCAACGATTTGTATCGTGAAAAGCGCTATACAAATAAACTTGAATTTAATTAAAGAGCAAATCAAGATCCTACATTACATTTATTCATTTAGCAGACACTTTTTTCTGTCTCCTAGATTGTATTTCTACATCGTGAAAGTATGAATTTACGAATGAACCACTTATTTTAAAATCTTCCCGATCTACGGACATTTGTCATGACATCGGCTTCAAACTTAAAAATGCACAAGATATCTTTTGTTAACTCTACAATAAGTAAATCCACTTCACCGGCTAATAGAAATATACAGAGTTACCGCGAAAACAGAAGTTCAAACACAACACTTGTTTCTCTGATGCATAAAGTCTATAAGCAACTATTTTCTTGAGATAAAATTTTCCGGAAAATTCTTTTAGTAGTTGTGTTAGTTATTCATCTATCTTTTTGTTAAAAAAAAAAAATACATATCACATTTGTGTCTTCTTGGTAATAGAGGCATCTCACAAATCCTCCAAACTGGTCAGCTGACAAACTTCCTCCATTTAACATCATTTTTATATATTCAACAATCCTCCTTGATTGTTCTTTGCAGTTAGAGTGATATTCTTAGCTGGTGCCCCGAAATAAAACAAGCAAGAAGTCACAAAATAAATCTGGTGCACCCTATGAAGAATTACACAACTTAAGTGCATAAAAAGTCTTGTATGCGCTGCATAGAAACAGATAAAGTCGATTTTGTTTCTGAAGACCATACTTAACGCACTAGAGTGTTTTTTTTCTTGTCTGTCATGACATCTCTTTGCTCTTCTGGTCTGTAAATGTGGCTCGGGTCCCTCTGTAAATGTTCACCTGTGGGATTTTTTTTACCTGTCTAGCAGGTGAAAATGGTGCATCTGATCACTTACTAAAATACCAGCACACTTCACCTCAAAAACACATGATCTGAGGAATCATTTATGTCTGGAGCACAAATGCTTGCAGGATGACACAAACTGAAGTTTAACACCTAGAGGTTTCCTCACATCACTAAGAGTACTAGTATACTAGTAATGACTGACATACAGTAGGTATGACTGACATGGAGTGCTGTGGATTTAATCCAGGCTCCTGTAAATCATATAGTAACCACCAAATCTGAAAGTACTTTGGGTCTTTGCTAATACCACACCGAAAGCATGAGGTGAAAGTGAATCCTTACCAGGTTGGTGAAGTAATAGCCGTCCTCTCCGCTCATGAGGCGGCTGGGGTTGCAGAAGCGGGTGATGTACTGGATGTTGGAGTGTAATCGAGGCGGATTGGCCTTCAGCACGATGTAGACGAGAGTGGGTAGAAAGTCATCAGCCGAGGCGGCGGCTTTCTTACTTCCCTGGACGGCAGTCATGATGTGTTTACTACACCTGGTGACACACGCCAACTTGTCCTTGGGGACCTTTTTAGAGTCCAAGTCAATCAGGTCTATTAAAAAAAAAAAAAAAAGCGTTACAACATTTATATGATGCATGATTCATCAGCGCAGTATCTTTTAACAACAAAATGCTTGATTTCATAAACTGTTATCAAAGCGTAATGCATTTCTCTGCCTCTTAAAAGATATTAAGTGTTTAGTTTTACTCAGAAACTACGAATTATGGAAGTGAAATGCATTGTAAATGTGAATATAAAAATATATATATATAAATATATATACTGCCGTTCAAAAGTTTGGGATCAGTAAGACTTGTAATGTTTTTTTAAAGAAGTGTCTTCTGCTCATCAAGGATGCATTTATTTGATCAGAAATACAGAAAAAAACAGTAATCTTGCTAAATGTTATTACAATATAAAACAATGGTTTCTATTTTAATATCCTTTAAAATATAATTTATTTCTGTGATCAAAGCTGAATTTACATCATCATTACTCCAGTATGTGTCACATGATCTTCAGAAATCATTCTAATATGCTGATTTATTATTAGAATTATCAACAGTTGTGCTGCCAAATATTTTTTTGGAAACTGCGATACTTTTTTCAGGATTCTTTGATGAATAAAAGTTAAAAAGAACAGCATTTATTCAAAATATAAATCTTTTCTAACAATATAAATCTTTGCTATAACTTCTTATCAATTTAACACATCCTCGCTGAATAAAAGTTTTAATTGCTTTAAAAAAAAAATGAAAGAATAAAAATGTACTGACCCCAAACTTTTGAACTGTAGTGTAGTAGTGTATATTGTTAGAAAAGATTTCTATTTTAAATAAATGCTCTTCTTTTTAACTTTTTATTCATCAAAGAATCCTGAAAAAAAGTATCACAGCTTCCAAAAAAATGCAGCAGCAACAGTTTCCAGCTCTGATAATAAATCAGC